ATATATATATATATATATATATATATATATATATATATATATATATATATATTTGTATGTATAAGCTCGTTTAGGCTCATTTAGGCTCGCGAGCCCACTAACTGAAGCTCGGCTCGAGCTCATTTAATAAACGAGCCTCATATTTAGGCTCGAGCTCGGCTCGGGCTCGTTTAATTCGATCTCGAGTCGAGATTTTAACGAGTCGATCTCGAGTAGCCCGCGAGTAGCTCGACTCACTTACACCCCTAGGTGTTACTATTAAATCTATTCAGACTGGCAATACCTTAGAACTTGTCTCAAGCAATGAAGGCATTAAATTCTTCACATCTCAATGAATCATACATCAACATTCCATAGCTTATACGCCCTAACAGAATGGCGTAGTGGAGCGTAAACATAAGCACAACCATGAAATAGCTAGAGCTCTACTATGGTATGGTATCTGGTATTGGTGCAGCTTATTGGAGTGAATGTGTCAAAACATCTGTTCATCTCATCAATAGTATGCCTACCACAATTTTACATCAACGTTTTCCTTTTGATGTTCTTTATCATGAAAAACCACCATTACATTAGTTGAGAGCAGTGTTGCAGAAAATCGGCCTTGACGGCCGATTAATCGTTTGACGGTCGATTAATCGTTTGACGGTCTTGAACCAATTATGATTAGGGTGCTTGGCGGAAATTGGTCAAAATCGGTCAAAGTCGGGCTCGGCGGTCCTTGGCGGTCATAAGCGGGAATTTTTTTAAAAAATCAAAATTTTTAATTTTCAAATATTACACCAAAATTTTAAATTTTCATATATTTAAGCTTTCAACTTTTATAATATTATACTAAAATTTTCAAAGTTTTAAATTTTTTAATTTTCAAATACTTAGTTTTTTAGAGAATATTAATTTTTTGTATAATTTTATTAATAATTTACGGTCCCCGATTAATCCCCGCCTAGTGTGATTAATCGTTTATCGTCAGTCGACCGTCAAGCTACCGCCACACGATTTTTACAACCTTGGTTGAGAGCATTTGATTTCTTATGTTATGTATCTTCAACAATCACCAAGCAAAATAATTTCATGCCTTGAGCTCATCCGTGCATTTTTATTGGATATCCATTCGGGCAAAAGGCTTACAAGCTCTTGAATTTGGTGACCAAGGACATATTTATCTCTCGAGATGTTAATTTTTTTTTGAAAAACTCTTCCTTTAGCATTCACTTCAGATGCAAACAGTCTTCATCCATGCCTTCTTTTATTCCAAATGTGTCCATTGAGTTTTATGATCAAGTACATGTTTCATCCTCTATTCCATCTGATACCTGTATCTTCCACACCTTCTACCTTACCTTCAATTCCATCAAATAACATTCCCTTACGACGAACTTCTCGTGTTCGTC